GCAAACAATTTTTTTAAAATTAACAAGTTAATGAAATATTTTATGGAATAATCCATCTCTCTCGTAAAAAATTAAAGATGAATCCAAAACTAAAGATGAATCAAAACTTGTGAGTTCAAAATTCGTTTATGATTTTGACAAAACAATTTCGACCTGTTCCACCGTTGATTTACAACCGTTATAATTTTATATTTGTACATGTTGTCGATTTCTATTATGTTTTGATGAAAAATACGCTCTTGCCAATATATTTCATGTGGTTGCCAGTCCTGTGCGTTCTGAGAGAGAAATAACATCCTTCTCTCTGCTGACTTGTTAAAATAACCAGAATTTAAACAATCTCTTCTATAATTGTAGCCATTACTCTCGCGGCATATTTTTACAGTAAGTATAGACTACATTATAGACATATATATATATATATATATATATATATATATATATATGTGTGTGTGTATGTAACATGTATTTGCGCATGATATTTAAGCGTATGATGAGCATTCCTTTCACCGCATTAAAACATGTTGCCGAGATATATAAAATGTTATGAGAAGTAAGTGTCATGTCAAAAGTCCTCAGTATCGTACTATCATTAAAAGATATTTGATTTAATATGTCCTATACGTTTTTTACTAACATGGTACTTAAACCGTGTTATATAAGTTATTTCTTTACTGCGATAATACAAATATGATCATATAAATAACGGTTCATTTAAAAAACGGTTTATTTAAAAAAAACGGTTTATTTAAAAAAAAAGAAAGGGGAAAAAATCGACACGGAGCATTATTTTCATTGCAAAATTGATATGAAATTTTATTTTCGTCACACAATGCAGTTTATAAAAATAAATGTTCTATTTAGAGTTCCTATTACACATACATTATTACACGAATATGTATTATATACATAAAATACAATATAAGAAATTATTTACTTCCAAGCAAGTTTTTAACATGAATCATTAAAATATTCAAACATACTTTCTATAATATTACAATTTTATTATTATTTATATATCATATTATTATTAATATTATTAACTTTGTCTTTATATTACAATTATTTTTACAGTAAATCTTTAATTATTGTGTATATTTTATTTTGCTTAATAGTTTCATTATAAGGTTTTATAAATCGAGCATAATGGAAAATGAGTATGATGGCAATGTGAGTAGTCATGAGCAAAACAATAAACAAAATGATATTAACTTATCAAGACTCATAAATGAAACATGGAACTTGGATGTACCTACTTTGGAAGAAGCTGTACCTGGTATATAATATTTGTAATATTTTAATTTAGAAAATTATCGCAATTATTTTATATTTTATACATCTGCTATTATGTTATAATAGTTTTAAATCGGGGTTTGAGAAATCAATTCGAACAAGTTGAAGTCGCGATAACTCAATGCCCTAATCTGACATCATATTTTTGTCTCGCTGCATCAGGTAGGAAATCCAATTTGAATTAAATGTTTAAAATTTTTTTATGTATTAAATGTGTGATAATCTTCCTATTTAAAGGATTGTGTGGCCATGTGGAAATTATAGAAGTTGGCAATCACAAACATGTATATTATCCGTCAAAAAAAAAAGAAGGTTTCATGGAATATTCCATATCTTGTAAATGATTTTCGTAAGAGAAGACCTTACTTTGTTCTTGGAGGAGGCATGTTATACGAAGATCCTAAAAAGAGGTACAAACTACTTTATGGCATATTGATCCTTAAAATATTTGAATTTATTCTCTTAGTGTTATATTCTTTTTCAGAAAAGTTCTTTGTTTTAATTTTATGCTGCACTATTTTTAATTCCATTTTAAATACATTCTTACCTCACCAGTTTTTCACAAATGTATCTGTCGTGCAGCTTTATATGAATTGGACATATACGGAGAGATACGGAGTCAATAACTTTAGTCATCATATTTATATAAACGAGAAAGAGCAAGTCACAGCGGAACATATATATATATAATCCCAATATTGTTGTATGCGATCTCCATGGCAGCTTTCTCGTCTGCAATGGCGAGCCAGGATTGGTCCTCGAAGTGCGCGTCAGAAAGGCCTTCAGTCATAAAAATATCATGTCTGCAATACAGAACGTACTTTTTACTAAATACTTTGTCTCGTAATGTAAGTACGAAACAATTTAATGTACTTAATAAAACAAAGTGAAACAAAAATATAATAATAAAATTAATTAATTGTTAGATAATATAAGATAAGCGAATTTTCTGCTTGTTCTTGCAGGCATAAGCGGTGTGATCCTTATAAATAGTAGAACGATAGAAGCGATCGTTATATCACGCATCTTTCCGGAAACTGCATTAACAACAAGGAGGACTGTTTATGATTGGATGTATAAATATAAACTTTCAGCACCCTTGGTAGCTTATGGTACAACATTTAATTTTACTGAATTAAATATTTATTTAGATGGTAAAAAGACGAATAAGGTATATTTATTGTCTTCATTTATTTTGCAATGAATTGTCATTCTTGTAAAATTGATGTAACTTTCTATTATACATCGATTACATAAATAAAATTAATTTTGGTCTCTAAATTTTGCACTCCCATCTTAGCGTTAACACTTAAGTTTTCAAACCGACTTGTAAAAAATTCATAAATTTTTTAGTTTTGCACGGTTAATCATAATATCACTCGGATTTTGCCGATGAATAAATGGATAGGCGGTACCAGTAGGTATATTGTAACACCATCTTCAATGGATTACATAGGATATTTCAAAT